AGATACAAGTCAGCCATGTAGGGCTCGATATATGAAGTTACTAGTGATTAGAATTGTCCAAAAAAGGAATGGGTTGGCACTCATTCACTTAATCAAAAATAAAGTAAGTCACAATTAAACTATTTTTCCAAATGTGGGTCATGGCCAAATACTTCACTAAGTCTTCTTTTCTTCTGGGACAAAATAAGTGCTTAATAAATGCTTGTTGGCTATTGGGTGACTGTAGGAATATTTTGATTTCTTATTCTTAGTGGTCTTGGCCAAGTTACTAAATCTGGCAGCAGAATATATTTTATATAAACACACATAAAAATCATATCCATCCCCTCTATCAAAATTCATATAATTAGGTCCTTATTCAAAAGACATAGTATTAGTTTTCTTAAGACCATGGAAAATGAAACTACTGTGCACTGTCTTGGGATTGAGTTAAAAGTAGAAGACATAAGAAAACTTGGTGATTTTCTGAACCAAGGATTCAGAAAATAGATTGAAATCCCTTAGAACTCTATATTTTAAGAAAATGGCAGCCTGAATACTTCTACTTCATAAAGCAAAAGATTTAGTATTTGAAGTAAATTTGAGGAATTATTAAGTATAAGTCACCTCTACTCTTGGTTTTAATGTCTTCACTTGTAAAACCAATGATTTCTAAGATCCCTTTCTAGTGCTAACCTTCTTTGAAGCCACTGGACCAGGTCTAGGTCTAAACAAACAAGCAGAATAGGAGAGAAATACTTCTATTGACTTGGTGTTTCTGAAACCCTTAAAGATCTAATATTTATCTACCATATCATGATTCATCAATCCAACTGACCACATAATTCATCATTAAGAGGCTATACACAACTACAATTCATCCTACAATTATCAGCTTTGAGGAGCTCTTGTAGCTCCAACCAGTTATTTGCAAAAGAGCTAAACCCTTGCATGTATGTTAATATCAACACCATCACTTCTTGAGGGTGCTACCATATTCTGACCTTTCTCTTTAGCAATATCAAACAGGCATTTCTGAGCTACTGTAAATAAGTCTTTAAAAATTTGTCAGGTGTATTTATTATATTCACTGCGCACAGCAGAAAAGGGGCACATTTCATGAACGTTTCAGCGATTCCTGGTAAATTTCTTTGATGACTTCTTTGAAACTATACTTTCCATCATTTCCTAAAATGATCACTTGTTAGTATGTGGAACATTTACTGCTCTCTCTTTCTCTGAATAAAATTTCTACATAATATGTGAGAACAATTTAAACTACATTAGGGTGAATCTAAAGTAATGCTATCAATTGAAAATTCTAAGTGGTCATCAACTCTTCTAAGGCTTCAATTTCTTCACCCCTCCTACTTCAGTCATTTGTTCACAAACTGCACTCCTGAAGTGACCAAAAATATAAATGTAATGAAAGGAAAAGTAAAAATTTGTATTGGAATAGGTATACTAAAAGATCAACTAACATATATTATGAATAGATCCCATAATTATATTTCACTTCCAATTAAAGTCATATTAGCTTCTTCAAATAAATTATTAGGTAAAAATCTTACTGTTTGAGGAATAGCTATACATATTTTTTGGTTGCAGATTTTTGGAATTTCTATTTTATCACTTTAACATCAATATTCTTACTATAATCAAGTTTTAGATTTGTGTTTCTAGAAATGTGTGCAGTTGAGAGCTGTGTAATATGTCTGCCTAGATAATAAGCCTGAACAATTTAAATAATAAGGTCTAGGAAAGGTCACCACTTACTTAGATGCTCAAGGCCTGCAGAGGCCTTGTCTTTGCAATAAGATTGGCGAGTTATCATTTTCAGTGCCTGGATAGAGGGGAGAGTAAATTAATATCCAGCCTAGAAACCTCATCAAAGACTGGGAAAAATTGACAGAGGCATGATCTAAGAATCAAAAGAATCAACAGTAAAATAATAACCATGCATTTTCATGCAAGTGATACAGTCTCAATGAACTGTTCTTTACCATGCTCCTCAGTGTTGCCTCATAGCCCTATGAATCACTTTTGTATTTAATATTTTCCCCAGCATAACTACTTATCAATTAGCATTGCAATGTCTTAATTTAATTATATATAGGAGGTATATTATTTTGTTTAATATAAGTAATTAAAACAGAAAATTATTTTAAAAAATTTTAAAAAAAATTTTGCATATGCTTAGGTTGTTCACTAAATTAAAAAAAATAAACATTACATGCAAATATACATCATATACATGTCTCTCCATACGTATTTAAACACCACAACAGATTATTATAACTATTCTCAAACTTTACCACATGTAAAATTCTTACACACATTTGAAGAACAGTACCTTTGAGACTCTATCAAGTTATCTCCCTTTTAAAAACTTTTTTGGTTTAGACAAAAGGGAAAAAAAATTCTCCTATATGAAATGTTCAATCAACCCAAGCTTTTTCAGGTTGAGAGACTCATTTAAATCAGCAATTTTCAAATATATTAAGTCTCAGGACTCCTTTCCATTTTTAAAAATTATTGAGAACCTCTGAAAGAGCTTTTGGTTATGATTTCTATAAATATTTACCATATTAGAAATTAAAATGACTTAGTTTTATTATGAAAATAGTTTTGGATTTGTGGACACCATGAAAGTGCTCAGAGACCCTCAGCTAATCTAGAGTTACCTTGTATCTATTATTGTTCATCCTTTTCCCACGTACATGGAGAATTCTCTGGCAAGATTATGAAAAAGCACAGACAGCATTAGTGGCCTGTTAGGTTACTTTTAATGAGGAACTAAGGTCACAAGGTATATAAAGGAATAAAATTAAAGGCTTTATTTTCTTTTTAATATTTAATGGGTCAAATCTTTTTAAAGTTTGGTCTTTGTAGAAATCTTTAAGTGATAATAAAATTTTGTAATGTATATTATATAGACTATTCCAAATAAACATCCCACAATTTACTAAAAATACACCTTATGTTATACAATTAATGTATACCTTTAAAAAGGCACACCTAAATTGATTTTGGCAAATCAATAACATTTCAAACTAATTTAGATGAAAAATATATTAAGTAATATAATAGTGATTCATGATATAAATAATTATCACCTCAGCTGTTTTTGTAAGTTAAGATCTTCATATGTTGAATTTTCTCAAGATGGGACAAATGAAATTACTTTTAACATTAAATTTTGTATGCTGACTGAAATATACATTTTATATGTGGCACCAAGTATTTGAAAAAGGTTATTTTTCAGTCAAATTTAACTGGTGAGCTGTAATACTCTAGGAAAAAAATAATAATTTAGGTGAGTAATTCATAGATCCTAAAATTCAGGTAAAGTTTAAGCTTCCAAAAATAAAGTGCCTGTTTATGGCTTTTGTTTTAAAATCAGAATTATTTCTTAGCATAAGTTACTCCATCACTGAGGTATCTAAATTCTTTTTACATTATTTCCCCCAAGTGTAGCATTTAATTTTCATCATTCAAAATAATGATAACCTGAAAACTGAAGAAATGAAAAAAACAAGGTGGCCTAAAGACGTGGGACTAATGTTGATACACTTGCCACCTCTTCTGTTTCTAGAGTTGGTCACAGAATGTAAGACCTAATATAACCAAAACCAAAAGATTGGATAATATGTTTATTGGCCTGTTTTCTTTTTTAAAACTTTCCCCCCCTGAAGACAGCTTGAGGTTGTAATGTACAACAGGTGCTAGTCTCCTCTGAAAATCTACCTACTTAGGTATTTTCCTTGACTCCTCACTATCTTTCACTCTCCATTTACAAACTGTTGCCTTTTGATTTTGCTATCGATTTCAGTTTTGCAACGTACCTCAAATAACAACCTCTACTCTCTTCTGATACAGCCACCACCCTGGTAGAGGCCCCTATCACCTTAGTGTGCAATACCTTGCTGGCTGGTCTGCCTGCCACAAATCTCTTTCTTCATTCCATACCATTCTCCACTCAGCCATCAAACTGAATTTCCTAAATCATAGGTCTGACTCTAAACACAATATTCTTTGTTTGGCGTTTGAAGTCCTTTATAATCTAGGCCCCCTTCTACACCTCCACCTTTCTGGTTTTCTCATGTCTTACCCCTGCCATAGAAGCTTTGATCCAGTGACACTGGCCTCCTTGCTGTTCCACAAACAAGAGATTCCATCTCTTGACTCAGAGCATCTTCATTGGCTGTTTCCCATACCTAAAATTTTTCTCCCTTTACATCTCTGTCTCCTGGCTTCCCTAGATTTCTTCAAGTCCCAACCAAAACACCATCCTCTACAGAAAGCCTTCCCAACTCCTCTTAATTCTAGTGCCTTCCCTCTGTTGATTATTTTCTATTTATTCTGTATATGGCATCTTTATTATTGTCTCCCCCATTAGATTAAGAGTTCTTAAGTTGAGGGACTATTTTTTTTTTTTGTATCCCTAGTGCTTAGCTCAAAGCCAGGCATATAAAAGCTGCTTAATAAATGGTGATGGACCATCTAGTGCCCAGCATCATGGAAATTTGTCAAGTTTGTTTTGTGGAAATATTTCTCCTGATCTTTTGGGGTACAATTTTATGATGATTATACTTAAATACATAAAAACAATCAATGTACACTACATAATATGCACTAGAAAGAGAAATGCATATTAAAAGCAGATAAAATTCACAAAGTACTGTCTGTTACATGATTAACTTTTAAAATAGCAAACTAGTTTCTGGCATAGCTTCACAATATCACATATACTACTCTAATCACAGTATTTAATGAGATGACAGTATTTATTTACTGCTATATTTTCCCCAAATAATACTGAAAAAACCTTATGTGGAGCTATAGGTTTAGTGTGCTCACATAGTCTCTCAGATACATACATATATACACATATATATATATATATACATATATATATATAATATGTGTGTGTGTATATATATATATATCATATATTTGCTTGACATTGAATAACTACTGAAATTACCTGTTAAATTAAAAAAAAACAGAGTAACTCTTACCAAGTAGCCCTCTGTGTACTGAAAATGCACTCTGGAATTCTCTTCTGCTGTTGGACTCAAAGGCTTCGGGTCAGACATTGACCTCTGCATCATTTTTGCAGTCTTTGGGCTTGCTGGTGGAACCTTTGCCATGTCTGGGTGCAATATTTTCTGAGGGCTGATATCATCAGTGATGGGTTTTTCATAAGGTACAAAGGCTGATTCTAAGGCTTTGCCTGGTGAAATTGGAGAAATGGGTGAATAAAGGACCTTTGGGGATTTTGGTGGGGATGGTACTAGCTGTAGTGTGGAATCTGCCCGAAGATGAGACGAATAACCTATTTCTAAAGGTGTTGGACGTTTCTTGTCTTTGGGTGAAGATGTGGCACTCAAATACTGAGGACTCTGTGCATCGGGGTCCGCCTCTGTTTGACATCCTAAACTTCCACCTTTATATGTCTTTTCAGGAGCTGAAATGTGTTTGATTATTTCAACTTTTGCATCCACTCGAGCACGTACGGAAGGTGTTCTTATGGTCCCAACTGGTTCAGTCTGCACTGATATTTCTGCCACTGTTTGGACTGCTATACTAGACACCTTGGAAAGGGGTTTAGTCTTGTCAATTTCAGGTGTGCCATCACTATATTTCCCAGGACGTGATTTTCTCCGTGATCTACTGGGCATATCCCACTCATCCTGATCTTCATCATCAGTCTGGACACTGGTATCCACACTCTTTTTACTTCTCCTTCTCCGATTGGTATAACTTCTATCTGCTCCATCTTCATCATCAGTTTGTACTCCACTGTCTACTATTTTTTTAAAACACCGGGGATCTTCACCCCCAGTTTCATCAAGCTCATCATACTGGCCACGCAGCTTAGCTCCAGAAGTCCTCTTTTTAAGTTGCTTTTCATCCTTCACAACAACATCAGTTAGAGGCATATCAGAAACAGTAGTCAGTATGCCAGGTGGAGCAATGTATTGAGTAACACCATCGGATTGAACCGTGTACCAACCTTGGCTCTGCGGGATTTCAATGGCCACTACAGCTGAAGCTGTGGTGGTGACATCTTCAGTGGACCAAAACTGGCTTCTCTCTACTGCTGGATACTGACCTTCAAGAATTGCTTGTTCGGCAGTAGTTTGTGGTGAGGATGTTCCAGAAGGATCATAGTTATATTGGTAGATCTGGCGGATCTTTTGCTCTTCTAGCTGCTGGTGAAGCTGCTGCTGAAGCTGCTGGATTTGCTCGAGCTGTAGTTGTTGCTGCGCCAATGTTTCCTGCCTCATCATAAACTGAGCTTGCCTCTCTTCTTCCTGCTGTAAGAGGAGGTGCTGCTTCATAGATTGCAGTTCTTCCAGTTTCTTTTGAACCATAAACTTCTCCTGCTCTCGGAATCTTTGTATTTCCTGTCGTTCCCACTCCAACTCCTCGGCAAAGCGCTGCTGCTTAATTTTCTCAAGTTCCAGGAGCTCCCGTTCCAAATCAAGCTGCTGCTGCTTCTCTTCTTCAGTCCCAACGACAAGAGCACTGTCATCTCCCAGGACTTCAGGAAACACCTCAGATGCTGTGGTCAAAGTGGGAATCACTTCAATGGCCTCGGCAGTGAGACTTTCTGCAGCCAGTGTTTGCAAGCTTGTTTCAATATCTATAGCAGCCACAGAACCATCCTTGTCAGATGCTCCCGTTGTTAGGAAACCATATGATCTAGGTAACGGCTGGGTCTGCTGCAAAGCTGTTATTGCGTCAGTTGTATGAATGCCAGACAAATCTCTCACAGTGGTGCTGAAAATAGAGCCAGGCTGAGTAGTGATAGCAAATGTAGAAGGGATTGGAGTTGCTACCGAAGAATAGACTACACCATTAGAAGCTCTCAAAACACTGCCCATGCCATATGGGGATCCTGGTGGAGGGGTCATTCTTGCTGTTGAATACTGTGGTGCACTAATCCCAGTGCCTGAAATAACTTGTCGAGTCTCAGGATAGGGACCTGTGGTCTTGCTTGAATAATCCATTACCTCACCTGAAATACAGGGTAGAGTTATAGTCCAGTTCCAAGAAAGAATGGTGCTTTCTGCGTCTGAAAGCCCTCTCATCTTGATGAATATAACGGAGAGAACTGCATGCAAATCCACAGTTTAGCCTACTTATATGCGGATAGAAAGCAATGTTGAACATGCAGGCACATGCAGGCAATTTGGGCAGAACATAAGTAAAATGAGGAAATTTAAAAAAAAATGTAAGTGTACTCCACAATATGCTGCCATACCATTGAAAAGAAAGGGAAAAAAAACATAATGGGAAAAGAAGGTAAAAATTTCATCCTGAAATGAGATGAGCGACCCCATAATGATATTTCAAAGAAAGATCGGCTGCCATGTCATACTGACCTGTAGTTATTCTTCCAGAAGTTAGATCTACTGCTGTATCAGCCCCTCCAGTATAATCAAAGGTATTCTTACTCTTATAAAGAAAAACTCCAGTGTCTGCTAAGTTTGTGTCAGACATGGAAGGCTTCATGCCTCCAATTCCTCTATAACCATACGGTCCTGACCGATCATACTGGTAGTGATCATCCCTGTAACCAAAACGATCTTCTGGAAGAGTGGTTGCAGGCTGTTGTGTTGTACAGCTTCTTCCAAATGGTAACTTATAAACAACATCGCAGCAAACCGCTCTTCTCCCTGCAGTCAAATCCACTGGTTTCTCATCATCTTCTATGACAGTAGTCACCACACCTGAAGTAGACTCATCCACTGTGACTACAGTTCGGTGAGACTTTGTAGTGCTGAGATCCACTGCACCACCATCTTGAGGCCCCTGAGATGTGGAGAGATCAGCCCATCCATTTGTAACACTAGGTGGAGATGCAGTGATAGGTTTGGTGGTAGGCAGTGTTACTGCATGGGCAGCAGTACTTAGAGATAAGTTTATTGGTGCTTCCTCCCTTAGTGTGGGGAAGACTGGGACACTTGTTTTTCTGTACATAGGCTCAGTATGTTTTGATGTTGTTAACTGAAGTGGTGTCATCATAGAATGATCTGCCCCAACCAAGCTTTCTGTGCTTGTGGTATAACTTATGCTAGTTGTACATGTCACAACAGCCATAGTTTCTGTGACCAGGGCTAGTGGTGTCACTACCGATGATGTTGCACTGAGGTTTATGATAGCAGGTTTAACTGTGCTGATTTGTCTGCCATAAGCCTCACTTGCTGTGGTCTGCCTTCTCACATCCATCGGAGCAGCAGACAGATCCATGCAGCTTCCAAGTATTTCACCACCAACCTTTGGTACTGTACGTAGATCAATAACATCCCCAAAGAGTTGAAACTTTCCATTTTCTTTATAGCTTGGTTTCTCTAACGCTAAGGGTTCTTGAGGCATGGGCTCTGGAGGAATCGTTATAGAAACACTACTTGAATCAACACTAGGAATTGTGCTGTCTACTGATGAAACCACAGTTTTGGTCACTTTACTCGATAGTAATGGAGTTACTGAATCTGGGACTATATGGAACGGAGACTGTGTCACGACTGGGGCAGCATACAGAGTCTGTAAAGCACCTGAGGAATACAGGCTCTTATCTGATATGCTCTGAACCTCCACACTTGTCACAGGAAGAACTGTAGTAAATACAGGCTCCAGAGAAACCAGTTCCTTAGAAGGTGATCCCAAAGGCCAGCTGGTCACTGCCTGACTAGTTAAAGAATCTGTTGGAGTTCCTGGTTCAGAAGGCAATGTTATAACAACATAAGTCTCCATCAATGATTTGGAAAACCTCGGTGACGACTTGTTGGAATGTGGAGACAAGGGGGATGTAGGGGATGGCAGTTTGTAATCGGCTGAAGTCACTAAATTCAATGTCATACTGGAAGTTAAGGATAAACCTGTTGGTTTGGGATGTGTATCCACTGGCATCTGTGTAGTTATTGGAGGCTGAGGGATGGCTGGTTTAGGAGCAATTGGAGGTTTGATTCCCTCAACAGACCTGTGAGTAAATACAAGTCCTGATGGAATTAAAGACGGCTTAGGTGGAACAGGAGGTGGTGCAGGAGTGTATGCTTTTGTTACAGGTATCACATTGTTCCTTGGGATAGCAGCAGACTCCACAGGAGCAACAGTGTCAACTGAAGGTACAACAGCAGCTGATGTCACTGCAGGAGCTTTCAAAGACTTCTTCTTAGGATAAATAGCAGGTTTAGGAGGAGTTGGTGGGGGAAGTGGAGGAGGTGGTGGAGGAGGAGGAGGAGGGGGAGGAGGAGAGGGGGAGGAAGAGGAGCAGGCGGGGGTTGGGCAGATGAATCCAAAGAATAACTTCTCCAAAGAAGAGGTGCTCTAGGTGTCACAGCAGGAACTGAAGAAGTCAAAGATGGCAATTGTGATACAGTATCTGTCACCTCTCTAGACATAGAAGAAATTGTTGACATTTGATCACTAACTGGAACTGCAGTGGTACTTGGAGGTGGTTGAGCAGACACCGAATCTACAGAGCTAATTCTACGTAGTGAAGGTACAGGTGCCTTACTTTTATCTTTGTAAGTTTCCAGCATGACACCATTTCCATTTTTACTCTTAGTTTTCCTTACTGTGTCTTCTTTTTCAGACACAGATGAATCAACAGAAAAAGAGTCAGAAATAGACTGCTTCGGTTTGGCTTCTTCAGGTACTGTGACAGACAGTGGAAGATCAGGAAGAGAAATTGCGACATGATCAACAATTGTTTTAGGAGGGGGTTGGGCAGTCTGATCTAAAGATACAACTATTCCTGAATACACTTTTGTGTCTACTGGAAAGGGAGGTAATGATGGAATCTTTTCAGAATCCTGAAATTTAGCTAGTTGGTCCACCGTATCTGTAAAAACTGCAGTTGTGGTTTCTGGTGCAGTAATAGGTGAGGAGCTATCTGTTGTACAAACTGATGAAATAGATGATGTAAGAGAAGGCGTGTCGGATGGTGGCACAGATGTTGCACTTTCTGAGGGCTCAGAGTATGCTAAAATTGATGATTCATGGGCAATTATCTCTTGAATTTCTCTGGTATAATCAGTTATATATTCATCCTCTATTTCCTCTGGCGAAAAGTGCTGTGTTATTTTCACGTCTGGGATAGAAAGTGTCGCACTACTAGTTGAGTCTGTGAGTGAGGCTCCTGAGAGAATACTAGATGTCAGTGAGGTATCAGGCATCCTGTCAAAGTCTACTGTAGGCTCTGTTATATCATGCTCAGTGGCTGGTTGAGTTGGACTAGACCCTGGGGTTAGCTGCATTTGTTGTCTCTTCATGAGTTCCTCATAGGCTGCATCTGCATCTAATAACTGTTTTTCTTCACTTGTTGATGTTACCATAGTACCTAGATCCACAATTTCATGACTCTCAGGGATGATAAATGAGCTTGATACAATATCTTCTTGAGGCACCATAGAGTGTAAGCTCTCTAGCTCATAAAATTCTTTCTGCAAATCTGAGATTTTCTGCATAGGATCTTCATAGGTTTCCTCTGGAAGTCTCATTTTTCTCTCTCTCCCTCCTGGCTGAATAAATTCACTACCTTCATCTTGTCTTGTTAATAGACTGCTATCAACAGCAACATTGTATGTATCTTCTACCAGAGATTCATAAATATAATCCTCTATTAGCATTCCACCATATAATGGCTCCTTCTCAAACACTTCATCTTTTTCTGTTGAAACTGGAAATGCTTTTGATTTGTGGGATTTATGCATCATTTCTTCATACATTTCCTCAGCACTTTTTAATACCTTTTGGCCACCTTCTTTTTGAATTGCAATAGATTGTTCATCTGTTGGAGAATATAAAGAAACAGCTGTGGGCAATTTATAAACTTTTTGCACTTCTATTATTTTTTCTGGGCTAATTTCAAACCCTTCTGGGTCTGATTCTATGCTTGGTGAATATTCAGAGCAAGAGGATCTATGCAACTCCTCCATCTCTGCAGCCTGACGTAATTCTTCTGTAGGAGATGCATCTTCAATTGGAGAGAGATTGCTGGGTGGTGTTTTTGGCCTTTCTCTTCTTCTTTGAGCCCGAAGTTCATCTTTGTCCTTCTTTGATTTTTTACTGGAACTCTTTCTTTGCTGCTGTTCTAATTCACGTTGTTTTTCTTGCTCTTTTAATAATTCTTCTTCTTCCCTCATCTCTTCTTCTTCTGAAGAATCTTCAATAGTAGGAAGAAGAGGGCCATGTGATCGGTGTCTAGATTTACGCTGCTTGCTCTCTCCCTTTTTGTGGCTAGGACTACTGTCACTATCCTCATCGAGAGATGACACTGATGTGGGAGATGTGCCAGGTGTGAAACTGGAAGCATGCAGACTAGATGATCCTTCTCCTCGTGATCTATCTTCTGGTGAATCAGTAAGACTTTCCATTTCAAGTTCTGGTTCTTCATCAAAATATAAACTTGCTTTCTTTTGCACAGAGTCTTCAGGGTATTTATCAGTGACTGTGCTATTTAATTCAATGGTTTTGAACCTTCTAAGACCTCCTCCACCAGTAACAGTGAGTTCTTCACTCTCCTGACTTTTGGTTTCTCTATATTTTAGTTCTGGGCTCTCATCAAATGTCTCATCATCTTCATCATGCCAGGAATGGCGTCTCCCTGCATCTTCATCAAAGCTGGTACTACTTTTTCTGGTGAGTCGCCTATGCTTCCCAATTAGCCCTTTCCCCTTGCCTTTTGTTTCTTCCTTCTTCTGGCTCTCACTAATACTGATTTCTTTGAGTTGTTTCCTGATGAAATCATCATCATCTGAACCAGAGACATCTTCATCAGCACTCATTTCTATGATCTGTTTTCTAATGAAGTCTTCATCATCACCTGATGCTTGACTATCTTCCTGCTTATACTCATCGCTGCTTGATGAACCAATACTAGTTCTTCTTTTCCTTCTTGAGACAGGGGAGTTTTCACTTTCACTGCTGTCTTCTAGTGAATCATAACGCTGCCTTCTAGCCATCACATCATCTACAAAGTCAGCTTTTTCTCTGAGGGCCTTTATGGAAGGAATATTTTCTTTATCACCTTTTACAAGGATATCTTTCTTTTCTTCTTGAACTTCCTTGAGCTCTTCTTCTTCTTCTTCTGAACTATAAGATTCCAGTATGACAGGAAAATCCTTGGTTTTCTGTTCATCTCTGGGCTGCTCAGAAAGCCCACCATATAATTCTTTTTTCTTTTCTGATTTTTCTTCAACAAGTGAATTCACTTGAGCTTCCAAAATGGACAGAACAGTACTTTCTAACTTTGCTAGATCTGAAGGACTTGTAGGACTACTTTCTTGAGAATGAGAATCTTTTTTGAGTTCTTGTGGCAAATCCTTTTCATCACCTGGGATAAGACTTGGAATTTCACCAAGGGAACCTGATATTCCATCAGAAGAATATCCTGTGTCACTCAGACCTTGAGGGCTTTTCTGTTGCTGAGAACTTGATGTATCTGATTTGTCCTCTTCCTTTTCCTAGGGAAAAAAAAAGATATATCAAAACTTAATATTATTAAATTACTATATTTATTATCTCTATGACCTCCAACTAACTCATTTCAGAAATACATAAGAATACTCATGAGAATTGCAATTAAATTATCAGCCAATGTAAAGAAAATATTGATTATCCAAAAAGTTAAAAAATCATAAATAATTATAAAACATATTTCAAAAATGATACTGACATAGAAGTTTTCTGTTTATAAAAACAACCCTTTATATTTTTGTCACATATATCATTTGATGATAACTTTTCCTACTGGAGATTAATTACTTATGAAAAAATAATTTACAAGTCAATTATGTTGACATTTTACTATTTTGTGTAAAAATATGATTGCATTTCAATTTTAGTTCAAATAACCCTTTCATTTCAAAGATTAATAAATGAAAACCTAGAGAGGAGAATTGGCTTGCCAAGGTCCAATAGACAGTAGAGATGAGAGTCAGGGTTTTGATTTTAGTACTCTCATTCCAAATTCAGTGTCTTTTTGTGTGAGTGTGTGTTAGGATACTGCCTCTTTGCATATATATATGGAAGTATATTCAGAGTATTTATTTAACAGTATGTTCAAGATTCTCAACTAGAATTGTTCCATAGTTTTGCAGCATTACTTAGAGTCAGAAAATCAGAGTTTTGGCATTGGCTCTGTAAGTTATTAATTGATTAGGGGTCATGGGAGTTGTAGTGAAATGAAATCTCAAAATGTTTTAATAATGAGACATAGCAGCAAAAAAAGCTTATTTAATCTTAGATTGCATAAAGAGAAAGCCAAGTTGCCCAAACAGAGGAAACATGAATATCTGTCAGGGTATTGCACAGGGACTTCTCATTCCCAAACAGGTTAAATTATTCGATATCTGGGGTTCCCCAATTGAGAGTTTCTATGATTCTGAGCTTGATCTTGGTCAAGTCAATAAACTTCTTTGTCCCCAATTATAAAATAGGTGTAAAGATATTGCCTTGCTTACCTCACAGGATATAATGAAAAGAAAATGAGAAATATAGGTATGGTAAAATGCATTTAAATCTGCAAAGTCCTTTGAAACGATGTTGTTTTTACTGTGGCCTATTGAACCTAATAAAAGTGGAACTGGAAGCCTATGTTCCCCAGTATCAAATATTTCCTTCAACTTGCCAAGAACCAAAACTAACAACAAACAGAACAACCCAACAATGCCACCCCTTCCCCAAGGTAAACTATTGCTTCATAAGCTCAGCAATACTCACATTAATTTTCTGTAATGGATATTAAAACATTTAAAAAATGCTTCTGATACTAAAATTTTTTGATTATCAAAAAAACCTTTATTTTTTTCTACTTGCACCTTTTGATGATAGCTTTTCCAAGTGTTGATTAAAAAAAAGTTATAATGATGTTGCCTAAACACTAGTTGACATAAAACCTTTTATTCCTAAGGAGAAAAAAAGACCATCAAGTCTTTAAGAAAAACACTTTCATATTTTAGATGATTAAAACTAATGACCTACAAGATTTTTGAGATAACAGTTCTATATCCTATCTTAATATTCTATATCTATATTTAGTAATATTATTTCATGCTATTGTTAGAAGGTAATTTATACTTAATATTAAAGGCTTATGTCAAGAGTGTGAACATTGAAATTACATGTGGTAGGGAAACTTTTCTGTTCAATTGATAAGATGAGAATAACACAAACAGTTTAAGCTACCCACTTCATATTCTAAAGGAGATATATTAGATTAAGATTCCTTTGACCTTACTGATTTCTCTTCAGGATAATAATATTCCTCTTTATTTAGAAGCCTTGGTCAACACTAGAAAAATAAGGCATATGATAGTCGCTGGTTGAAAGATTTCTTGCATATTGCCTTTTTAATTGTCCACCCCCTCCCACCTTAAGGGAAAAACATTTGGAAAGAATATAAGGTCAGCAAATTCAACAAAAAAAAATCAGTTTAGACACACATGTAGAGAAAATAATTGTCATTTTTTCACATGTACTCTGAGCATATTTGCATAAGCCATCCTTATGCCATCCTTTTTGCAAATTCTTTACTTTTTCCATTCTACCCCACCACATCATTACACCACCAACATGAGAAAGACAATCAAATTATGTTTTTCCTAAAGGACTGTCAAAAAACATATTTATTATTCTATGTTTTAAAATACTGATATTCTAGTATAATTTGTAATTTATATGTATAATACAGAATATATAAAGTTCTAGCTTATGTTTATTTAATATTATATATGCATGGTTGTATACATATATGTATGTGTGTGTGTATATACACACACATACACATTATATATATATGCACACAAATAGACAAATGATAGGGAATGGAACTGTGATTTCAATTGTATAGAGAATCCTATGATGAAAAAGTTTCCCTTTATAAATGTAGCTTGGTATTTTGTCTATGACCTATAGTTTTAGAGAATTCTCTAAAACCTCAAGAGGTTATATGACTTCTGGGGTCACAGAGTCAGTATGGATCAGTTGTGGGACTTGAACCCATGTATGCTTGGCTCTTTAAGACCAAGGTTTTATGTATTGCATGCTACCTGCCAACATCCATCCATCTATCTATCTATCTATCTATCTATCTATCTATCTATCTATCTATCTATCTGTCTGTCTGTCTATCACATAATGGTCATAAATACACATACGTATATGTGCACAGATATACATGTACATATACATATATACATACCTATATGTAGAAATGTCAACACATATAGATATGTAATGTTAAACATGGAAAATGTGTTTTAAAAGAGCTTACATATTAGATCAGATATTGGATGCGTGAACATGTGAAGGATCTATGATTTTGTCAGTGCAGGGACCTCACAGTTACAGTAACTTCTTTCATCAACTCAAATAGTAACCTGCCTGTGACTCCCTGGATGAACCCTATGAAACTGTCTCATGAATGCAGAAATAAAAAGACTTGAATTGTGTCATATAGTATCAGAGGTCAAACTTGAATTCAGGTCTTCCTGAAGCCACTCCCAGAATTCTTTCCACTATGCCATGCTGCCACTAAGATATTAATTTCTATAAGATGAATTTTTGTTTTATCAATGACTTTTCACTGATCTAATATGAAGTCTTCAAAGACCTTTTGTGGTGAGAGTTGGCCACTGGCACATACTTAAACATAATTGAAAAACAATTAGTGGGTCCCTAATCATTTGTAAAATGATCTGGAGAAGGAAATGGCAAACCAGTCAAGTATCTTTGCCAAGAAAACCTGAAATGGGGTCACAAAGAGTTGGACACAACTGAAAAACAACTGAACTGGAAATATTTGATATCATTGCAGCAAAAAGCTACTTTCCAAGCCCTTTTTGATCCTGAGATTGTAAGAATCGCTACTGAATAATATCTAAGGTTAACTTTTTGAACATTTTAAAAGAAAGCTGCATTCAATTAAATACATATAGTTTGCTTACTGGAACTATTATATTACTCTACTCAAATGAAAACAAACTATTCATTTTCAAGGATATTCTAATTTTAGTTAAAATATAAAAGATTTTCAGCTCATGATAGGAACGTGCATATACACCAAACTCAGTTGCATTCAGTTTAAGAACTGAAACTTCAATACTCATAAACATAAGGCTTTGTGCCACATATTTTGGTGGGGAGAAAAATCACATTGACTTGAACTCTCTATTTCCATATAATATTTTAGATCAGTGGTATTAAACTCAAAATACATCCCTGTGAATGGCATATTGACTTGGCAAATTGAAAATTAGCATTACTTGTATTTGCATTATATTTTTGTTTATTTTATTAAACATGTCCTACTTACATTTTAATCTTTTCAGGAGTAGTGGGAAGTTTTGTGGGTTGCTTGCTTGCTGGGTGAAGGCTGCAAATTTGACCTCTCTTCTAGATCATTGACTACCATGTGTTTGTCTAGGCCTTTCCCTTGATTCCACTCACAAGGTCTACTTCCTTTTAGCCTCCATCATTATCTCTAAAAAAATGTGCTGCTATTAATATTTAATTATAAAGATTCTAATTCAAGGCAATTTCTTAATGGTGCTTATAGCAATTGTCATGGTTTTCCACCATGACTGAGGGAACACATGTATGAAATAGCTAGCTGAGGGGAATACTGCCATTTATGTCCTTGAAAGGGCATAGGTAACTAACTGGACAACACAGTAGAGTGAAAGGAGCACTGGCCCTAAAGTCAGAGGAGCCAGGTGCCATTCCTACTTTGGATAATACCCTCGGGTGACTTTGGGCAAGGTTCTTTAACTTTCTGGTCTTCAGTTTTGCTAATTTGTCATATAAGGGGGTTGATAAAACAGTTTCTGAGTTCCCTCCTGCCTTTAGATCCAGAATCTATAATACTCATAAACTTGGCTTAAACTGCATCTTCTATCTAACTTAACTAACTTGCCCAAGCAAGAGAGAATATGGGGCAAAAAGACATAAAACATAGGTTTGTTAATTCCTCAACTATTTAGAGGTAAAGGTGGCACAAATTTACCAGTTAAAATTTCTATGTGGCTTTATACAAGGAGAGAAAAGTGTTGTCCCTGTCCCAGGAAATTTTGTAGCCAACAAAAAGACCTAGATCCTATTTTCAGTACAAAGTAATTCAATTCAAAAACCATGTAGTAAATAAATACCTACTACATGGGTAGCTAGGTGGTACAGTGGGTAGAGCACTGGGCTTGGAATCAGGATGACTCATTTTCATGAGTTCAAACCTGGCCTCAGACAATTAATAGCTGTGTGACCCTGGACAAATCACTTAACCCTATTTGATTCAATTTCTCATCTGTAAAATAGGCTGGAGAAGGAAATGGCAAACCACCCCAGTATTTTTGCCAAGGCAACACCAAAAAGGGTCATGAAGAGTCAGGCATGACTGAAACAACTTGACAACAACAACATAAAAACAAAACTATGTGCAAGAATTATCATAATGGTTGGAAGGAATGCA